TCGTTATCATGTTGGAAAACTGCCGTTCGGCCCAGTTTCTGAAGGGAGGGCATCATGTTCTGCTTCAGAATGTCACAGTACATGCTGGAATCCATGTTTCCCTCAATGAGCCGCACCTCCCCAGTACCAGCAGCACTCATGCAGCCCCAGACCATGATGCTACCACCACCATGCTTGACTGTAGGCAAGACACAATTTCCTTGGTACTCCTCACCAGGGCGTCGTCACACATGCTGGACACCATCTGAGCCAAACAAGTTTATCTTAGTCTCATCAGACCACAGGACATGGTTCCAGTAATTCATGTTCTTGGACAGGTTGTCTTAAGCAAACTGTTTGCGGGCTTTTTTGTGAGCCAGCTTTAAAAGAGGCTTCCTTCTGGGACGACGGCCATGCAAACCAACTTGTTGCAGTGTGCGGCATATGGTTTGAGCACTGACAAGTTGACCTCCCGTTTCTGCAACCTCTAAAGCAATGCTGGCAGCACTCATGCGTCTGTTTTTTGAAGCCAGCTTCTGTACCTGACGCACAGCACGAGGACTCAACTTCTTTGATCGACCCTTGCGAGGCCTGTTCCGAGTGAAACTCGTCTTAGAAAACCTCTGAATGACCCTGGCCACTGTACTGCAACTCAGTTTAAGGGTGTTACAGATCTTCTTATAGCCTAGGCCATCTTTGTGGAGAGCAACAATTCTAACACACACACACACACACACACCTTGCTACGTATACTGTGTTAGGCTAACCGAGACTTGTCATTTGCACTTATATATTGTTGCTCGTTTGTTAGTTTTGACTGCTTTTATTGTCCTCATTTGTAAGTCGGTTTGGATAAAAGCATCTGCTAACTAACTAACTAACTAACTAACTAAATAAATATTTTATTTATTTAGTCATTTAGCAGACGCTTTTATCCAAAGCGACTTACAAATCGACTTACTTTATTTATTAGAAAAACAATGCACACCCGAGGTGTAGCATCACCACCTCGGGTGTGCATTATATTTCTAATAATTCAACGGCCCGTCGTCAATTATTCCTTATATATATATATATATATGATTGCATCCCTGATGAATAAAAGTATTAATTTATTTCAAATAATACAATTCAAATGTATTATAAATTTTAAAAATAAATAAACACATTAAAAACTCATTACGTGCAAACAGCAACTCATTTTGGCATGTGGTCTTAAAGGGGAAGTGCTCTTCAAGAGAGCTCTTAGGGTTACATCTTTGTCATTCTACTTCATTAACCCTTTAAATTAGTGCTAAATAATTATTCAAATCGTACAATAGGGAGAGGGAATCAAATATCCCATTTTCAAAAGAAAGAAAGAAGGTTGATAAGTCACACAGAGTGGTTGAGTGGACGTAATGTGACACACACACACCAGACTGCATTAAAATAGCTGTCATTCTGGAGGTCCTCTCCATACCCACTGCAGGTAAATTAATAAAGCTCCTCACTCTGCCTTCTGTTTGAGGAGGAACACCATTAAGACCGACCCCTTAACATGGCAATTTAAACAAGGTGTGAAATAACATGAGACTACTGGAACTTGCTGATTGCTATGACAACCCAGGTTCATTTCTGCTTCTTTGAAGATAATCCAATCATTAAATCAGCCCTCAAAGCACCTACAGGCACCATGGAGGAAATAAATGGACATGTGCAGCTGCTTAACTTAAACAATACAAACTGGGGCATGAGAAATCAGAATAATTTTCAAGTAATTTGTTTTACACTCTTAAAGGGATAGTTCACCTAAAAATGAAAGTTCTGTAATCATTTACTTGTCATGCCATTCCAAACCTGTATGACATTCTTTCTTCTGCAGAATATAGAAGATATTTTTATATTGTTTTACTTTTCTTTTCAAAGTCAATAGTCACCAAAACTGCTTGATTACCAAAATTCTTCAAAAGATCTTCTTTTGTGTTCTGCAGAAGAAAGTAAGGCATACAGGTTAGAAAAAAAGAGGGTAAGTAAATGAAGACTTTAATAAACTTTAATATTTGTGTCAAAATAACCGTTTCTCAAATCTTAGGTTCAGTACACATTTTGTTGCCTATTTGGTTCTTCAAAAATAAAAGTTTTTGATGTCATACTATACATAATTCAAAACAACATACTAGACTATGGTTTTATTAATGCACATTCCTGATCTTACTGTGCATTAGAACACGTTATTCCAAAGAAATACAATGTTTGCCTTCACAATCTGTAATCAAAGTGAAATATCCATCACATCATCCCCCCCACCCCCCTTTTTCTGCATTTTTCTCATACTGCGGAGCACCAGTACGTAGATGATCTTCTAATAAACGAATAAAGTTTTATCTGTAAAATAAAAATGATGCCAAAAGGCTGTGTTATCCTGGTGGAACATTTATTTTTAAATGTGCATCATCAAGCTAAACGTTTTTCACAAGTCAAACTTGTAAGCCTACACTAATTGTGCGATTACATCTCCTGACATCAGTTAAAGTTGAGGGTGCCATATATCCCAGCATAACCTGAGAGTGTACTCAGCTCACTGTGGATCACTCAAAAAAATGAAACCTTGACTTTAATTAATTTTTTCTTGTCAACAGGTTCCACAAAATTGAATTATGAAAGTTGAAAACAAATATTTCAAGGTTATCCAACTTAATGGGGTTGTTTTAGGGAGAAATAATATTTTTGACCCAAGCCAACTATTATCACTCATTTTTGCTCAACAAGAGACGTTTGAGTTTAACCAACTAAAGTCAGTTATGTTATATGGACTAACAAAATTTGTTTAGAAGTTGCATATTACATATTTGCCTATTCAAAGTAAACTAATGATTTTACAACAAAACATTCAATTCAAGCTTAATTAATCAAAATAAAATGCTTTCACTAACTTTAATTTTTACTATTTAGGTTGAATTAACTCTAGTTTGTCAACAGGTCCCACACAAATTACTTCAGTAAACTCAACATTTGTTAGTTCCTTTATTCACCAACACAACTGTTTATCAAATTATTTTTTACAAAAGAGAAAAAAACAGTTAAACATACCCATGAGTGGCAGCATTTAAAGGTGGTTATCTTTACCTTAAAAAACAACAACTCTGGACACACTTTACATGCATGTCACCCAGAACAGTGGTGTGTGTCACAAAAAGAAAAAGAGGTATATAATCTTTCAAGTGTTTTTCAATTAAATGGTTTCAAGTGCAAAGCAGGCCTTCATGTTAAACGCCACAAGCTCAATGTTGGTTCACTCATACAGTTTGTTTTTAAGCATCTGTACCTTGGTTGAGAGTCTGGTAGCATCCAGCTGGAGGAAGATTTTCTGAAGCACCTCAAAGAACATTTTGAGTTACTGAGGATAACTGAGGTTCATTGCATATATGACACCCATTAAGAGTGCACATGCAGAGGCGATGTCTCCCAAGTCGTGAAGCACTTCAACACCCTCAATCACTATTCCAACATCAACTGGAGTGGTGGTGGCTTCACCTCCCTCAGCATTAATGCTGTAGATGCCAAAGACAACTTGTTCAAGGTCCCTCTGGGCAGCACAGCCATCTGAATCCTTTCCACACACAAAAAAGGACAACAATGAAATCACCAGCCAATTACATAATTCCAAAGAGCTCATTTGCATTGCAGTTTTCTCCGTAAATGTTTTAAAATAGTGCTCGAATACTAACTTTTGGTCCAAACTGATTCCTCACAATTTGTACACTCACTGGCCACTTTATTAAGTACACCTGTATGATCTGATGCCATCTAATATAGCAGCTCTGCCATAAATTCTACTTTTATAAGATTATAATTTTTCAATTTTTAAGATTATCAGAAACGGGAATTTTGGTCTAGACCAAAATTGCCATTCCTACATAGCCATATCCCACAATGTTAAATGGATATTGTGATATTCTTAAAAGCCCTAGGATACCGTTACTGCTGCAGTAATTGTTAGTATTACCTACCAGATACTCTTTGAAGAGACTGCTTGGATCTCCATTTAGATAGATACAAAGTGCCCTGAGATCCCACAATGTTAAATGGATATTGTGATATTCTTAAAAGCCCTAGGATACCGTTACTGCTGCAGTAATTGTTAGTATTACCTACCAGATACTCTTTGGGATCTCCATTTAGATAGCCATTTAGATAGATACAAAGTGCCCTGAGCTTCTTTTCAACAGTTTCATTCTAAATAGAAAAAAAACAGCATCAACATACATACTACAAACCTATTACACTTCTATAATTATGTGAAATGTGTGAAACTTTTAAACTATAAAAAGTAGGCACATGTACAATGACCATTTACTTATACAAACATTATGAATGATTATGCAATTAGTCAATTACAGAGTACACTCAAGTAGGGCTGTCACGATAACTACTTTTTGTTGTGCGATATATTGCACCAAAATTAATTGCGATAAATGAAATTGCCATTTTAAGACCATTTTATGCCACTGATTTCATAATGACAGTATAATGATAAAATAGCATAATAATGCAAGTACACTCTTTCAAAGAACAAAGAACATTTTATCTTAAGAACATTTAGATACTGGAATGAGAAATGTGAACAAATATATCTTATCTTATAATAGATAAAAATAAATAAACACCTTTGTTAACAAAAAAAAGTGCACAGTAACAAGAACTAGGACAAAACAAAGTAACATTAATGGTCAGCAGTTATTTAGTGTTTGGTCAAGCTCATAAATGGGGTCATATTTGAGCTTGACCACATATAATAATTTCTTTGGCTATATAGCAAGTTACGCTAACCGTGTGTGCGCCATTTCACACTGATGAGGCAATCTGTATGTCTGCTGTGTTCATACTGCACAATGTTCGGCGACAGGAGCTCAGACACTGCATGACTTCACAGTAGAAAGTATCGCAGACAACTCTGTCTGGTGCATACTAAAATTTTAGTAAAAAGACCATATGTTACAGTATTCTATCATTCTTTCACACTGTCATTTGATGCATTATATAACATTGATTATGGATGTTTTAAGAAGCAGTTTATACCTCAGGCACAGTGAACAGTCCTGGCCATCTGGTCTTGAACTCTGCAATCATGGGTTTGTCTCTGATCAATTGCTACTGATAATTAAAAGTAAACAGGATACAAACAGAAACAAGCTAGTAACAAATGAAATGGTCACGCAAGAAACAGTATTTACATTAGTAGATGTTGCAGATCTTACCTATTGTGAGTAAAGCACCTTGGCAGGAACACAAAACACACTTTTCATTAAGGACCTGAAAAATTGCAAAGGATGAAAACAAAAAACAATTTGATAAAGATTTTGTTTAATTGAATTAAACTGAACTGAAAAACTACAAACCAATAAAATAACACTTTGTAATTTTTATTATAAAGTATCACAACAAATTGGAAAAAAACTAAAGTTTCAAACCAAGTATTAAAGGTACAATAGGAGATCTTTGAAAATGCTAACTTCAGCCTGATAGCACTGAAAGCGAACGTCCCACCCTCCCTGCAATCGCCGTCCAAAGCCACGCCCCCTGAACGCATTTACACTCACAGACCAGAGACAACATTACTACAATAGGCTATATCAGGTTCCCAATTCCAGCCCATGTTCCGAAGTGAGTAAACTTCAACGAATTTCCCCTGCTCAGGGAGTAGAGAGCAATGAACACTGTGTAGGGATCATATCGATCGGAATACGGTTCATGCACGTAGCTCACTTCTAACGAGCTGGCGCGAGGATTAGATTAACCGCTGGGCTACATCATGTGTCATTCACCAGTGAGAAATCTTTAAAAGTACTACAATACCAGGAAGGAAGATCGGCTTGTTGATGTTTGCCTGCCATCCTCGCTCTGTCTGCACAGCGTGCGTGAATGCGCTGATGACGTATCCTGTCTGCGCGAACTGGGGGCGCAGAGGTATGCTAATACATGAGTTGACAGGCAGGTAGGAAAGCATATTAAAACGCTCGGACCAAGCGTTTTGATTGGACGAACATTTCTTGATCCTACGCCTTCCACAGAATATATAAATACAGACAAATAAATTTAGACCACTTAACTTAATGATTGCTATCGGGATGTGAAGAGACTTTCAACCAGCATAACAAAAAAAATTTCTGAAGACAATCACCTATTGCACCTTTAACCACTGTTAATTTTGACAGCAGATTTTAGTTTTAGTCAGATGAACAAGTGAACCTAGTGGTTGAACTTAGTATTGCAGTTTCAACGGAGAATGACTGTAGCATTGTTTTTCAAACCAACAAGTATGTTAACTTAGTACGTTTCTTAAATATATCTGCAAACATATTACTGTATTTTTATGCTTTAGTAAAGTCAAAAACTTACAACAACTTAAACGCTACAGCCAGAAAAATGAAAGGGAAGTTACACACTTCAGGTATACATTTTGACATTGAGTAAATCTATTTATTAAACGTGTAGAATAATTTCCAAAACATTACATATAGCATTATAAATGTTGCGTTCATGATATAAAAAATAAACCTACTAGTATAACTTTTAAAATGGAGTGAACACCGAGCCGTTTTTCCGTGAGCGGGAATGGAAAACCCGGAGTGGATACCGAGCGGAGTGATTAACAGAACCCTTAGAGTAGAGAGAATAACATGCTTTCAATCCACTCCAGGCTTTGATCACATCCCCCTCAGCAGGCTGAATACACCTCTTTTCAAATTAAAACATTTATTACACTATTTGATCAATGTAAACCTATTTACAGCCTTAAAATTATGAAAAGTGAATACAAGACATTATGGACAGACAGGAACGCTGCAATTGACGGAAAAAAATCCGTCGTAGACTCGGTTCAATTAACGGAAATCCATCGTAGCGACGGAGAACTTTAATCAATGAACTATCTCTTATTAATTTTCGCCCAAATAATGGAAATATGCAGCGGACCAACCTGCGCCACGTGGCTAAGCTAGCATGCTAACTTCAGCATGTCTAAGACATTAGAACTATCTAAAACTAAAGCAGGCCAAAAATAAAGAACATATCTCTAATTACAAATAAAAAAGATCAATACTGGTGTAAAAACAAATATCCTCCTACCTTTACCAGCCGTTGAAAAGGTAAGACGTCCCACCGTCAAAACCAACCCAAGAAAAACTTTGCAGGGGGTCACACAGGTGTGCAGAGTCAAATATCTTTGCGCACATGTAGTCTGACGCGTCTTGCTCTTCTTCTTCTTTGGAGTTTCATGGCAGTTGGCGTCACACTATACTGTATATACACACACTATACTGTGATGTACGAATTTTTTACTTAACATAAATGGTTTGTGTTTAGACAACGCGTTAGGATTTTGTACAGTTAAGTTGAGACATAATTACGTGGACCTTCATAGAAAAAAACATTTAAAGTCAACAAAGACAATTATTATAAGTAAACTGAATATAAATATATTATGTAAAGTGCACAACCTTCCTTTTTCATTTTTTTGAGTGATGGAGAGAGATGAAAAAAAGACTAAAAAGCAGCTCAGAGTGGGGACGTGCTAGCAGCGGCAGAATAAAAAAAATAAAACCGACACTCACCGCTGAATGATAATGTTATAACACCAGTCTAGATAAAACCCCAACCAGAAGAGAATTAAGCAGCCCTGCACCTGCAATCCACAGTCCTAATAGATATTGATGGAGTCAGTCAGTTAAACAGTGAAACAATTAGACCGCTCCCCTCGCCAGCCCTCACCCCTCGACTTCAGACAGAAGCGCTAGGATGGTGTAGCCCTTAGCAGAGTCTACATCGCAGAGCCCATCTTTCTCAGGGTCCCAGAGCAACTACCCCTCTTGCTGAGGCTCAAACAGACAGATTGGAGCTCATTATACCTACAGCGGGGAATAGCGCCCCTGCCTGAGGGACTTCATCTTGCCTATGCAATAGATTAGGGGTTGCAAGCTAGGAACCTAAAGCATGCTTGTGCTCTTGCAATAGGGTGTGCGCGAGGACGTTCGTGTGAAGGATAACAATAGTAAATGGACCACGCGGAACAAGAAAGGTCATGCCATGGCTGTATAAATGTATGAGCCATGAACTCAACATGACACTGAAAGAAAAAAGGGACAGAGAGAAGAGAAAATGAGTTTTGTGAACGAGCAGGCAGGAGAAGCTGGGTCACGGAAGCCCACATGGAATCCGCACACTTATTTCATATTTCCTGTGCTGAATCTGGTTGTGGATGAAGGTCTGAGGAATTCTGTTTGAATATGGTTAAAGGTTTTAAACAGCCCTGAGAGTCCAAAACGCTTGCTGGTAGCTGAATACATTATCAGATTATTTAAAATATCTCATAAATGAACATGCAAGGAGGTGGAGGAGGGGAGTAGAGCTGGTACAGGAAAAAGAAAAAGATGTGAGCACTTTACCACCCAACCTACAGTGCTCTGGCAGGATTTGATTTGTATCTTGTTGAAAAATCTAGCTGGTAGCTGGGTCAATAACAAATAAGAGTCTAAGAACAAAAGAAAATATTAGTAGTAAATACTAGTAAATACTAGTAGTTAGGGATGTAACGATTAACCGCGAGCCGGTTGAAAATCGATTCAAATATGTGATGATTCAAATCGGTTCAGATGCTAAACAAATCGTGATTAATTTAGGGGTAGGCGTTTATAAGAATCCATGTCTGAGGGGAACTTACTGTCCTTAGAAAAGTTTAGATGGTATTTTTTTTCTTTTCATCTTGCCTCTGTATAATGCATATTAAAGTTCATAAGTTCAGCGCTGCTTTGTTTACAGTGGAAACCAGGAAATGCTTTAAGCGCCACCTACTGGCAGAGAGTGAATCTGCATCTCATTCAGCTCATCCGCTGTTTCATGCAGATATTTTTATGTATAGTTTCACAAAACTGAAGTCAAACCATTCTGTTTTTGCTTCAAATTTCGAAATTATACAATCTAATTTAGATTAAAAACTGGTCATGTTGCATGTATGCAGCATCTTTGTTTGGATCATGATTCAAATGCAGTGTTAGCCTCTAATTTTAAATGGAAAGAGCACAGACAAAGCCTTAGTTTGTTTATATGAAGAGATTTATGTTGTGTTATTTATTTGATTTGGGGCTTGTTTTAAAATTTCAATTTAGTTTTGTTATTTACATTTACATTATATTTAAATTTTGTCATTTAGCAGATGCTTTTATCCAAAGCGACTTACAAATGAGGACAATAGAAGCAATCAAAACCAACAAAAGAGCAATAATATGCAAGTGCTATAGTAGTTATTATAGTGTTATATTTCAATTTGACAAAGAAATGTGCAGCATTTTGTCCAAGCAATAGTAAAAGGACACATTTAATGTACAATTTGTCTTAAATCTCTTTTTTTTTTTTTTATCGTGAATCAAATCGTGAAATCAAAATCGTGAATCAAATCGATTCGTGAGTTGAGTGAATCGTTACATCCCTACTAGTAGTACTAGTTTACTAATAGTAAAATATTATATATTTAATGTTAGTGATAAAAATGTGGGTCAGTAAGAATTATTATTATTATTATTATTATTATATTGATCAAAAGTGACAGTAGAGACTTTTTCATTGTTACAATTTTTTTTTCAAATGCATGCCCTTCTTTTTAACTTCCTTTCAGCAAAGGATCCTAAAATATCCAAGCAGCACAATCTTTTTCAACATTGATAATAACATTGATAATATTATGAAATGTTTCTTGACACAGACTCAGAGAATGATAATTCAGCTTTGCCATCACAGGAATAAATTACATTTGGAAATATACTGAAATAGAAAAAATATATAATAATATCTCACAATATATATACACTATATATGACCTCCATGGTATTTTTCCCCCCATACTATTGTTAATGGTTACTGGAAAGTGTTTGGTTCCCAACATTCTTCAAAATATCATTTTATGTTCAATAAAAGAAAGAAACTCATACAGGTTTGGAACTACTTAAAGTCCCCATGAAATCAAAATTAAAGTTTTTTTGGGTGTTAGTATCAATATGTCAGTCTTAAGGTAATCTATAAGGCAGTGTGCTCCAAAACAGTGACAAAATTCGCATTTAGAAGATAAGCATTCAAAGCTTGCAGTTCGTCACAAAATGGCTCAACAAATTTTTTGATGTCACATCGTACTTCAGCTTCTCATCAAACTTTCTGTCCAATCAAATGCTCTCTAGAATCTGAAGCGCCTGCCTCCTACACTATAAAATAGACGCTGAAGCCGCGGCTGAAATCGGTCACAGAATTAGTATTTTCTGTACAGTGAATGGCACGTAGTGCACTATATAGGGGACAGGGAACGATTCAAACAGTGTAAATATGCTTTCCATTGAGGAAAAAAAGAAGTCTGGTTTCGTGCCGTCACGCTAACCACCGCACCGCACACACACACACACTCTGCTCCGGTCCAGAGACACGATAGCATGGAGCGGATCACATGCGCGAGTCGGCGCAGACCACAAAATGTATCGGAGTTATTTGAATTCTACACAGAATGCTATATTTTATAGCAATATGGATGAGATTGTGGCTGGCATACCCTGTCAAATGCGGCTTTACGGAGCTTAGCGGCTCTGAACGGCTCTAGCCCAAGCTGTGATATAAACTAACGCTATTGGCTATTTTAAAAAGGGGCTGGGCTGCTTGATATGTCCCGCCCTGTCTTCCTGTTTCAGTTAAAATGACGTCAACACAGAGTAAAGCTGCGTGTTTCTAAGCATTTCAGGGGACCTTTAAGGGTGAGTAAATGATGACAGGATTAAAATTTTTGTGTGAACTATCAATTTAAACACTTTACAATGGTATGACCAACTGATAGTTGGTCTAGTTTGTTGCTGATCCCAGATCAGCTTGCATCAGCTTATGACTAGCTTGGATCACTTAAAATTCAGCTCAAAATCAGCTACAATGTTCCAAAATACAGCTACCAATTTAAGCTGGACTGTACAGCAAGGCCTGGCTATAAATTGTGTGGATACAAAAACATTCCGTGCACACAAACACACACTGACACACACACACACACACACATCCAGGAGGAGATCAATGTGTCCTGAGGAAATCACCCCTCCCCATTGCATCGTATCCCAGTGGTCTGACTGCTTTTCTCTCTGATGTTTATACTCTGGTGACCCAAAGCCCCAGAGAGAACCTGACCTCAGTCAGCACATCTAATCCTTTGGGATAAACAAAAAACACACTGCTTTATTCATAAGCCCCACACTTACACACCACACAAGTTCTTCATAATTGATGACACGGCTCGCAACACTGCCAACCTCCCCTATAATGAGACTGTGTGTCAGACCCACCTCGTTCTCTCAAAGTCAGAACAATACCACACATATTCCAGCCTGCCTGCTTCAACACCAGCAAACATGGACCCAATTTAACTTGTTTTTGCCTTAATACAGCCTCTTAAAACAACCATTTCCATTCATCTGTTAGACAACAACTTCCACCTGAAGACAGCCATCACCTTCTGAGGCAATCATGGTGCATTTTACTGAACACTTGAGAGCATAATGAGCAGAGATACATGTCAGTAAAGATACTCTTAGCTTTAAAAGCTTAGCACCGCTGTCAGGTGTCTCGTCCCTGAAGGAGGACCTCCTGTGCTGTTGTAACAATATGGACACACACCTAATGGCCTTGATAATGCAAGGAAAGGCTTCAGTAACAACCCTCAAATACTCCAGAGAGCGCCGTGCACACTGAAAAAAGTTTTTCAAGCAGTAAAACCTCGGATAAATTGGAGACATAGAAAATAATGTTTAGGGCAAGTTATTTATTTTTCATTGGCTCAAGTTAAAAAATATAGATGTGAATCATTACCCTAAATTTTTTTAATTGGACGAATGAAACATTTTTTTCAGTGCACATACACAAACACACACAACCACCTGATGTTGATCTTACAGTATATGTCGGATGTGTGTATACATGATTCATTCATTGATTAGTTGCTTGGTCTAAAGGACGGCCTTTCTGCAGGTCGGTTTTCATTCTACACATGTTTATTAATGAGCATTCACAGCTGGAAAGGCTCGCTACATTTGCGTAAACGCATAAGACGCACAAAATATATGCGTTCTTTAAGGTTTAAATGAAGTAGACCACCTGGTGAAGACTGTTCCTGTGTCTTGAATATTTAAAAATGATCCAACCTCTGCTCTAAAGTGTCTGTGATGAAGAGGAAAAAGTGTAGTCTTTGCATTCATGCACTTTT